CTCTATAGTGGGCTTGTATAGAATCCTGAAAACATCTTTTGTTTTAGTAATTTTTGCTATTTAAAATTAGTAGTTAATAATGTATAATTTTAGTTGGTTCTGTATCACAAGCTTTGGGCGAAAGATTACCCGACGGGCGGCTCAGTTTGTCACCAGACAGGATATACAGTCGTGCTGGAGATTTGGTCCATTACAAGGAATATCAACACTAAATCTGAATTTCGGATAATCTATGTCATAGAATTTAAATTTTAAGGGGAATAGAAAAAATGAAAATAGAGCGTTATACAATAAGAAAACCAAATAAAAAAAACTACCATCAATGATTTGTTATTTTTGAAATTCAAATTTGGATGGAAATTTTGGATCAATTCTTGAGAGAATAGAAGTGGAATAGTGGATTATATGTGTATATTAGTAGGAGAAAAAAGAGAGACAAAAAGCTACATGCTTAATTAGGAATGTGTTATACGCACTCCACTAGGAACACCTTACTAGATGTATTCAAGAGAATGATTCGGAGTTTTTGTAGAATGGAATCGTGCAGTACCAGACACGAAAGAACAAGGCCTTTTTCAAATAAGCCAGTTAATTTGGGACCCTGCAGATCCACTCTTTACCTATTCAAAGATCAGCCCCCTGGCTCTGTGTTTTCGCGCCAAGAATTATTTGCAGATGAAGAGCTGTCAAAGGGGCTTCTTACTTTCCAAACGGACCCTCCTACATCTATATATAAACGGTGGTTTATCAAGAATACGCAAGAAAAGCACTTTGAATTATTGATTAATCGTCAGAGATGGTGCTAGGTATTATTTACCGGTTTATTACAATGCAAAAGATCTCTTACACCATAATTTTACGCCACTACCTACATCATTTACTAAGATTTTGACACTTGGCCCTGACGGGTTCATCCAAGAGTGGGTTAAAGTGTTAGTAAAATTTTTAACGAAGGAAAGAAGTAATTAAGTAAAAAATGTAAAAAATATTATATGCTCAATAATATTTCAATAAACGGGTTCACTCGAGAAGGATTTATTACAAGATTACTTAGAACAGGATCAATTGGAATGGTGTAATTAAAAATAAATAATTTTTAACACAAATATCAACTGTATGATTTTTTATGGCTATGTAAAATACATATATTATTTGTTTCAATTACTATATATTATTTGTTTAGAATGAAATCATTTGAAAAGGTCCAACTAATAATGAATAATTATTAAAACAAACATAAAATGTATGATTTTTTATGACTATAAAAAATGCATATATGAATTGTTATAATTACTAAATATGCTCAATAGTACTTCAATAAACGGGGTCACTTGAGAAGAGTTTATTATAAGATGAATTGGAAGGGACCATTGGAAGGGCCTAATTGAAAATAAATAATTTTTATCACAATTATAAAATGTATGATTAGTATGGCTATATAAAATGCATATATAATTTGTTTTAATTACTAGATGTTTAATAGTATTCAAAGAAAGGGTCGCTTGGGAAAGATTTATTTCAAGATGAATTGGAACGGGATGATCTAGAAAGGTCCAAGTACAAAGGATAATTATTAACACAAATATGAAATATATAATTTTTATGGTTGTATAAAATGTGTGTAAGATTTGAGAATAATTTTTTTTTTAAAAAAAAATCGTTACCACCAACGAAATATTTGTGATTTGCTTATCAAACTTGAAAATTCTGGTAAAAGAAATTGTGATCACATATCTTTGTGTTAAAAATTAAATGAAAAAAACCACTTTTGGTCACTAAACTATTGGAGGTCACAATTTCTGGTCATCATTAATTTTTTACTGACAAAATCAGTCATCGTTGTTTCGTTTATTCAACAGTTTTAGTCAATTTAAAGGTCGACTAAAGATCAACTCTTTTCTTTGTTAAATTTTTTTATTTTTTATTAATTTTTTTTACTGAATTGGGACCCACAATGTATTTTCATACAACAAAATCAATCCTCTAGTATCTTTTTTTTCAATAATTTTAGTCAGTTTAACAGAATTTTCAAAAATTTAATGGACGAATTTAATTTTTCTTTAAGTCTTTATTTTTTATTGATTACTTAATTGATTGTGGGTCCCCACAAGTCTTTGATCAGATTTTTTTAAAAAAAAATAAATTAAAAGGATAATGAAAGTATTTTCGACTAACTTCCTAAACTCCAATATACTGCTCCCGAATGTTGAACCATCAACACCTCACCGGCAAAGTAACCCAGAAAAAGAGCTTCATTATTGATCTTTTTGCTATCGGTTTTTATTTTTTGGAATTTATTTCTTAGGGACCAGAATATTTGGGGTTTAGGATGTTGGTCGAAAATATTTTTATTATTCGTTTAATTTGTTTTTTTTTTAAATATTTTGATCAAGGACCTGTAGGACCCATGATCCATAAAGTAATCAATAAAAAATAAAGATTTAGAGGAAAATTGATTTGTGCCATAAAATTTTTGAAAATTCTGTTAAAATGACTAAAATTGTAACAAAAAAAGATATTAGGGGACTGATTTTGTTGTTTGAAAATATATTGCAGGTCTTAATTCAATAAAAAATTAATAAAAATTTAACGGAAAAAAGAGTTGACCGTTAAATTGAATAAAATTGTTGAAAAAACAAAAAGATGGTAACTAATTTTGTCAGTAAAAAACTAATGGTGACCAGAAGTTGTAACTCCCAATAGTTTAGAGACTAAAAGTGCGTTTTGTCTTTTAATTTTTAACACTATGATATGTGATCACAATTTCTTTTACCAGAATTTTCAAGTTTGATAAGCAAATCACAAATATTTCGTTGGTGGTAACGATTTTCTTTTATAATTTTATTCTCAAATCTTACATATATAGTAATTAAAAATATTTTTGAAGACGCGTGTCACTTAATTCGGTTGCCAATAGACTCAAGCTAATGTGTAATCACTTTGTTAATAACAAAATTTTTTATATTATACCATGAATCGAATTAAAATTTGTATTTATGTATATTCTGAATATGGTTGATATAAAATCAACGCAAATTCATATAGCTAAAAGTTATCAGCCTATAATATAGTTTTTGAATATATTGTATAGTTTGGTAGTACTCCACATGCGTTAAATATGTGTGGTTTTAACCCAAGTTTCGATTCACACGTGTGAAACACTATGGTAATTCATATGTTGTTGTTTCTTTTTTCTTTAAATTTTTATTTCATCGATGACATTGTGTAATGATTTACACTATAATTGCCAAATATAATTTTACAAACCCTTTGTCTCCCTCCCCTAATCTCATGTGTATCTGCATGCCCATAGTTATGTCTCAAATATTTAGAATAGTCACAGCTTGTTGTAACTTTTTTCTTTGATTTTACCCTTCTTTTTGTCATAAATTTAACCCCCACTCAATAAGTTGTAGACTGTCTGCCATGTTTGAATTATGATTATATACTATTTAATTTATTTTACAGTTTCTAATGTCAAGAGATACTGTCAAATAATTTTTTTTATGTTAGTTCTTGATATGGTTCTTTGAAATCTACATAACATTTCTCTTTTATTTTCATATGCACATACTAATACAAAACAATCTATATATAATGTATTCAAGTACTCGAAACAAATAATGAGATAGATTTTATCATGAATACAAGCCCCCTAATACACAATACCCATCACGTAATGTGCAGGATCGACACTAGTTATTCTATAAAAACTAGATTCTCCATTAAAAAAAATGATCATACTTCAAATAAGAAAATTTTTAACTGTGAATTTATTGGAAAGAAATGATTATGCCCCATTATGGCATCTCCTACTATTACACCATATTTTACACCAAATTTAGTGTAGAAATGGAATATTCCAGGCATCTTTTTACACCAAATTTCTTTGCCCTTCAACCTTGATGCACCAAATTTGGTCTGAAAATAATTTTTTTTAAATTACATTTTCATTGAATTATCTTAATTCATATTTGTGCTACAAGTTTCAATACTATAGTGATTTTTTAGTTATATCTAACCAATATCCAGAACTAAAAAATAATTGTAATTAAAAATAATTTTTTTTAAAACAATAAATATTATAGACAATATGGATCTTATTTTAAAGATCTAAAAAAATCCTATAATATGATATATTGATATTACTTTCATAATATACGTTATTTTTTAAAAGTTTAAAAATATAGCAAATCATATTTTTTATCAATATAAAAAAAATAGTGCACAGATATAGTGCAATTGGTAGTTTACACCAAATTTGATGTAACCTTATTTATTGCACCAAAATAGTGTATCGATTTGGTGTCTTCCTTGGAGCATAAATTTTACACTAAAACACCAAATATAGTATTTTGGTGTCTTAATTGGAGATGCTCTTAGAATAAAATGTCTCATAAGAAACAAATTAAAAACTCACTTTCGAATGGATCCTTCTTAAAGTCGTGGATTAGTTTGAATAAAATACATATTTTATGTGTCCGAAAAATGAGAAATTCTAATATACAGCAGTTGTACCCACCTTTTTAGTGCAACCAACCAATAAGGATTAGTATTTAGTTTTTTTGGGTCCCATGAATTTCTCCTTCTCTCCCGTAAAAATATTACCTTTCCCGTTTTTGTATACAGGATGTACAGCTGACGTGATACAGCGGCTGTACACAAGATTTACTCCCGGAAAACAAAATCTTTTCACAAACTTAAGCGCAACCACTTATTTGAACACATTAGAATCGTGAAAAGGAAGAGAACAAGATATTATTAGATTTTGTTTCACGGATCATTCTCATTTAGTTTCGGAAAAATGTGAAGCAGGACGCATTTATTTCCATCTTTTTTCTTTTTCCTTTTCTGTTTTGGGTAATGGATGATTGTTTAGTATTATCATCTAAATAATCCATTCTTGCCTGCATGTATGGATATAATCATTTCTGTCACATAAAATCCCACATCCCAAATACTATAAATACCACAAGCCTCAAATCATTTTTCATAACAAACAAGATCTTCTGCTTTCATCTTTTTGTACATTTTGTATATACACTATCTAGCCTTTTGTTAGGATCGGTCTTCACAATAACAACAATTGTACGAAAAGTTGAAAAGCAAAGATGGCATCATTACGGATGTTTTATGTCATTTTTGTCGTCTTAGCGACGGTTATTTTGGAGAGTTCAACGACTATCGTAGGAGATAAAATTGATATAGGTGTTTGTTATGGTATGTTAGGAAACAACCTACCGAATGCAGCAAATGTGATTAACCTTTACAAACAATATGGCATTGCCAAAATGAGGCTCTTCGAACCCAATCATGCGGCACTCACAGCATTAAGAGGCAGCGGCATTAAAGTTACATTAGGCGTCAGAAATGAAGATACACCAAATATTGCCGCAAGTGTGGACGGGGCAATGTCGTGGTTCGTCGAAAATGTGCAACCTTATTTATCCGATGTCAATTTTCAGTACATTTCTGTCGCGAATGAACAGATCCCCGGAGATTATGCCAGTTACATAGCCCCAGCCATGAGGAACATTCAAGCTGTTCTTGATAATCATAATCTCAATTCAATTAAAGTGACCACAACCGTCGCGACTGCGGGGTTGGCGAATTCATATCCACCTTCGGCGACCACATTCTCGCCCGACACAAAAGGTGCATTTTTCGACGTCCTAACCTTTTTGTTGCAAAAAGGGTCGCCTCTAATGGTCAATGTGTACCCTTATTTCGCCTACGCGGCAGAACCAGCCAACGTCCGCCTATCTTACGCACAATTCTCATCGGAAGAAGCTGTTGTTAAGGATGGAGATTTGAGTTACAACAACTTGTTTGATGCGACAATTGATGCATTCTATTGGGCGATGGAGAAATTAGGGTTTAACAATGTAGGCGTCGTGGTATCGGAAAGTGGTTGGCCTTCAGCTGGAAATGGAGAGTCTACAACTCCGGAGCTTGCATTAACATACAACAAGAATTACATCAAACACATATTGGAAGGAGCTGGAACGCCTAAGAGGCCTGGGATTGCCATTGAAGGCTTCATTTTCGCAATGTTTAATGAAAACCAGAAGCCCGAAGGTGTAGAGCAAAACTGGGGACTCTTTTATCCTGATGGGCGTCCTGTTTATCCATTGTTTTGAGGGGGTTGAAACTGTATAAAGAGGCGTCACATAAAACTGCAAATTAATTGATTATTATGTATATGAAGATAATATATGTGTGTAGAAGATATTTTATTATACTATGCCATATATGGTTGTAACGTTTCTGTATATGCATGTCTAAGATCTTTTCAAATTATGTATATGTGAATCAACAAACTAACAATACTTCTATTTTGGAAGGAAGAGAATAAATTTTCTTAACTGCCACTCGTCATATTTGTACTGAATTCTTTTTTTTTTTAATTTTATTTGTACTGAATTCTTTTGGGAGAAAAAGAAGAAGATATTTATAGTAGCAGATATATCGATTGAACCTTTCTTTTTTTCTTAAGTCAAGTATCTATTTAAATTCCCGTTCTACTAATATTTATATTTTGTTGGATGTTAAAAGTTGGACGAGACATCGATTGAACTTAAATCAGTTGAAATTGCGATCGAGATGGAAGTAGTATCTATATTGGCTGAACTTGTAGCAAATCTGTGGGATTATAAGGAGCATGCCTTATGATTCTGTGTTCGAAAACTCGAAAATGATTACACTCTTTGACAATATTGATCATCAAGTTACATTTTATTTATTATATACATATATATATATATATATATATATATATATATATATAGTTTTGCATTTTCTTTGTGAAACTTCTGGTTTGGGATGAGAAATGATTCTAGCCTATTTGGTGAGACTCTCACTGAATTTTTTAGAAGTCCAAAAAATCAAAGTTACCCAGGAGTATGTAGCAAGATCTTACATTATTAAGAGGTCTTTTCAAATAACATTATTAAGTGGGGTTGACAACGGTGGTTTTAGTAGAAGGGGAAAAAAGGGAGCAACATCTTAATTTGGGATTTGAGATTTGTTCTGAGGCGGAAAAGGGGGATTTGGACCGCATACATTGATATCGGATATATAAATGGTGAAAACAAACCAAAATAATAATAATAAAGTAGAAATGAACAGATTTGAGTTTGTTCTTTGGCGGAAGAAAGAATTTGGACAGCGTCCAGTGATATCGGATCAATGGAAAATGTTACAATATTCGGGAAGGAGGTAACAATCACAACTTGATTATTTTGTCAAGAATGGAATAATTAAACTTTAGAAAAGAGAGAAGACATTATATAAAAGAGTTCACTTGTTTCAAAATTCTATATGTTTTTTTGTGTTTCTTATTACAAAAAGTATTATAACACTTTGAACTTCTTAATTACGTTTTCCAATAATTCTTTTGAGTACTATTTGAACCATCATTATAAGGTAAAATACTCATCCAGTAAGTGAACTATTTTTTTACAAAGTACAATTTCCATTTCATTATTTCTTCTTCGATTAAAATGATCACAACCGAAGGTGAGCTAGGAATTAGACCGACTTCCTAATCAGAGAAGTGCGCATTTGTTATCAACCATTTGCTTTCGCGTTATAATAGTAATAAAAATTTTAAATTATTAAAAGAAAGGGTTCGATCTTTTTAGTCCTTGAAATATTTTCCAATTCAATTGTCGTCTCTAATGTTTTTCATGCAAAAAAATTAGTCATGATTGTTTTTTTGTTCAAAATTGGTCCTATTGGTTGGATCCGACCATTATTCTGGCAAGATTTGATTTTTTTAATTATTTTTAAGAAAAGTTAATTACATATTTTCTCCTAAATTTTATAATTTTATCAATTTTACCACAAATTTTTAGAATGAACCCAATTTTAACTTTAACATATCATTTTTTTTTTCAATTTTACTCTATCTATCCCAATCAAATTTTACTATACTAAAATGTAAAATTTACCACATTATAGATTGAAAGGGTATTTTTGTCATTTTAACTTTTAGGGGGGTGATTATCCTTATAGAAAAAGTTGATATGGTATTAATTTTGGGACATAATTCGGGGATTCCGTCCTTTCCCCTAGTTTTAAAGCCACAACTTGATCCAGAATATGCGGTGTTGACTAATTTGTACGGCTTGTAGGATAATTAACTTTGAAGTTTGTGTATGGTTTGAGATATATCGACTCAGTTGATGCAAGGAATATATCAATAGAATGAAAAGCCAAGTTTTAATTAGTTTCATGGCGCCTGCAGTTATACCTTATGTGTCCATCTCAGACATAAACTCTCGCTAAAAGCGGATGAGTGCGTTTTGGAGTTAAAAAACATTTTAATGAAGAGAACAATTAATGTGTGAGCTAAAATGTTTGGAGATGAGAGCAGTTCAGCTCAATGATCAATGCAGACTGGGATTGCATTTAGGGTCAAACCACCATTTGAAAGCAACATACTGTGTAGAAAGGGGCCCGAAAGAAAAGTTTACTCCCCTATCCAATATACTTCGTTCATCGTTATTGAAGCACTTAGCAGTTAGCCCTACATTTGTGAAAGTTTGATGGATGTAATTACGAAAAATAATACTCATTCTGACTCGAAAAAACTATCCACATATAGTACAAATATCAAAATTTAATGTGGACTATATTTTGAGACGAAAATAATATTAATGGTAAAAGAAATATTGAACATTTTTCATATTTGTAAGATCATGATGAATTTTAATCAGGTTATTTGTTTTTTTTTTTTTTGAAAAGTTTAATCAGATTATGAAAACAAACGAACACATTAAAAATGAAGTGCACCATATCAATTTTGTGCGGGTCAATCCCAAAAGCTCGGCTCGATCAACTGTGCTTTTATAGGTCATCCCTGGCTTCTAGCAGGTACAAGAATGTTGAGATGAGGATTCAAAAGAGTGAGTATTAGGATGTGGAATGGACTGATGGTCATCAAAAAGTGATGGATCATTTGTATGTATGATATAAGATGGAGTAACTAGATCACTGTCATCATTGTGAATTGAAGGAAAAACAGACTCATGAAAGAACACATACCCCTTGATGGATAGTATACCTTGTAACCTTTTTGGTTTGATGGATATCCTACAAATACCCCTTGATAAGATCTAACATCTAATTTATCCTTCCCTGGTGTTTTATTCAAAACAAAAGCTTGACTACCAAATGTATGTAAACAAGCAAAGTCATGTACTTTATGATGAAGGATCTCATATGGTGATTTCCACTCTGAAAGTGATGAAGGTAATCTATTGATCAAGAAGGTTGATGTAAGTAAAGATTCCCCCCAAAAAAGTTTAGGCAGTTTGGATTGAATAAAGAGAGATCTAGCAACTTGTAGCAAGTGTTTGTGTTTTCTTTCTATAACACCATTTTGTTGTGGTGTGTAAGGACAGTATCTTTGATGCTGAATTCCAAGATTAGAAAAGAGTTGTAAACAAGAAGAATTGACAAACTCTGTCCTATTATCAGTCCTTACTTTCTTAATGACCCCACTATACTGAGTTTGAACCATTTTAAAGAAATGATCCAATAGAGCGAAAACTTCAGTCTTATGATGGAAAAGAATAGTCCATATGGATCTACTGTGATCATCCACAATGGTGAGGAAATACTGACATCCTGTAAAAGAGTAAACACGGAAGGATCCCCAAACATCAATATGCAAGAGCTCAAAACAAGCTTTTGATTATATATAACTTGTAGGAAAAGGTTTACATTGCTGTTTAGAAAGAGGACATATCTCACAATGATCAATTTCTGAATCCTTAAAGGATTTCCCTGAAAAACCTAAATCAATACATTCTAGGACCTTCTGCAACACAGGCAGGGAGGGATTTCCCAATCTTGAATGAATAAGCAAAGGAGTAAAGTTACAAAGGCTTTATTTTCTACTACAGGCTCTTTGTATGAATGACAAAGATTATTTCTCAACATATATCTAGCAAAAATTTCTTGAGTCTTTAGAATGGCTTTTGATGTAAAAGAAGTATGATCCAACACATAGAGTTCTCTGATGACCCTTCCAACTGTAAGGACCTTACCTGCTTTAAGGTCCTGCAACAGATAGAAGTCAGCATAGAAACGAAAATAGATGTTGTTTACTTTGGCTAATCTTCTGACTGATAAAAGGTTATATTTGAAATCGGGCATATGAAGGCAAGAAGTCAAAGTGAAAGATTCTGAAAGTATGACATCACCTATATGACTAACTGATTTAAGTGATCCATTAGGCAAAAGAACAGGAGTAAAAGATGAAACAAATTTAGGATGATGATTCATTAAGACAATATCTCTACACATATGACCTGTTGCTCTTGTATATGTAACCCATGACCTAGGACTTATAAAATCAAGAGATTCAGAACAAAACTTAGAATAAGTGGTGCTACCTGCCATATCATGATAGTGTGCCATGTTCACCATTGAAGTTTCTTCTGATTCTGAGATAGCCTTCCCTTTTTCCATCTTTTCAATCTTCTTGTGCACTGCATTAGCCACCATCAGTTGAAGCTCATTTAAGTTTTCACCATCAACAGATATGGGTGTATCCACCATATGTGCTAAGTTGTATCTATTTCCTCCTCTTTTCTTTGGATTGTTTGGCCACCACTCTGGAAATCCAATAAGTTTGTAGCAACCATCCTTAAGATGACCATCTCTCTTACAGTAAGTACACTTCAAAGCTTTCTTGTCAAGATGTGGTGGATATCCAATCAGCTTATAACACTCTTCCTTCATATGACTATCCATTTGGCAATGACTGCATTTCTTTGTTCCCTTGTTTCCAGAATTTGGCATTCCTGAACTGACATAATTTCTTTTCCAATCTGGTACTTTATCCACCATGGCCACATTTTATGAAATTGCTGTCATGTTTGAAATTACCTACCTAGCAGTTTCAGCTTTGAGCAGGATGTTATAAACAAGTTTCTCCTCAGACAAGGGATCCTTAAACAGAATTCTATTCTTCTCCTGTTCATATGTCTCATTTAACCCCATAAGAAACTCCATAGATCTGTCCTCAATCATACGAATCCTTCACAGATTACCAATTTCACCTTCAACCACAAGAGTTGGCCTCAATTGTTCATATTAATCCCACAATTGTCTCAATTTTCCATATTGTGCCATAGACGAATCTCCTTGTCTAACCAAAGCTATTTCACGCTTTAACTCAAACAGTTGAGGTGAATTAGTTGTACCATACAGTTTTTCAATTTGCTTCCACAAAACTTTAGCATCATGAATGAACATAAACAAATTCACCAGATCAGGAGAAACTAAGCTCTTTATCCATGAACAAACAAGACTATTAGCACGATCCCATCTAATACATTTCAGGGTATTCTCACGTGGGCGAGGTAAAGTTCCATCAATAAAACACAGTTTCATCTTAGCCTGCAAAGCAGGTATCATTGCGTTCTTCCAGATCAAGTAATTCTTTCCATTCAACAATGTTG